CTCTAGTTCAAAGTCGAAAAGGACACAAATTTAACCATTTACAATGTCCTAACACACATGTGTAGGATTTTACTTATACCAAGCAGAAACATTCCTTCTCTGTTGCTATGGGAAGGATCAAGTTTGTGTCTGTGAGCTTCTAGTGTCATACCTAGGGATAAGGGAGAGGAAGAGATGGAAGGGGTGGGGTAGGAAAAGGGAGAAGAGATGGAAGGGGTGGGGGTAGAAGATGGAGAAGAGAAGGAGAAGTGGGGGTAGAAGAGGTGGAAGAGATGGGAGGGGTTGAGTTGGAAGAGGGGGGAATGGGAAGGGGAGTGGGACGATCTATGCAGACTATGTGTGGTACATGTTGAATCAGTAATTATTCTAACCTGTATCAGACATTCTTACACTGCTTTGAGTTATCTTAATGCATTCACAGATACCAGGATCTTCTTAGGAGTGAACCAGTTACCATCAATTTTGCACTAGTTCATTACTTATGAATGGCATTTATCAATACAGCGAACAGTGGTCACCTAAATACCTCTAAAGTACAGGTTACAATTTCTGCAAATTTCATTGGTCTAAACTGAATTCTGCATAAAGTTAAACCAGATATTCAACTACATGCCACTCTATACATTTCTATGTAACCCTGTATAATCTTGACACCTGTATAAACTAGACCTTCCACTATACAAACTTTGTTAACCAAGAAACTGTCTAATGTGACCTTCCATATTGGTGAAAGCGTTGTTAGGTTAACACATGTTCCACTGTAAACAGTTTACTACATATTGCATTGCTGTATACCTTTGTGTATGCTAACTAGGCTTCCGTTTTAAGTCCAATGATAATGTTGAAGATGTTATTTTCACTGTTTATTTGTGCCATATGAATGATCAATTATACAGTAGAGTATAAAAGACGTAGTGCCTCTATGTATGTGAACTGGGGCATTTTATGTGAAAACTAAATATGCTTTTTATTACACTCCTGACATATTGCTGACCGTTTGAAAACAAAAATATAATTTATGACCAATATGTGGGTATAAATTTGAGCATTTTATGTGAAACTGCAAAATGATATATCATGTCAAGGGTTTTTTTTGGAGGTCATTGGTTCAAAAGAGTTCAAAGATCAGCAGGATGTTGCCAGCAGTACTCTTAGCACTGTATCGTCGGTAAGATTATGATGAGTTTGCCAACCAAGCGCGCCTCTTGATCCCCCCTACGACATATACAGAAGCCCCCAAACTCCTCTCTGGCTCAAGTAGGGCATGTCATGCGTTGTGTAGTGCTGACAGATGGCTGTTCTATATTGGTTGATACAGAGACCATCCTCTACACCCATCCCAGTCGCATCGTACACACCTCCCCAAGTTCCTGTATTCCACGCCTAATGCGAGCTGACTTATAAATGTAGAGCTCTTCAATGCTTCTGTCATTGCTTTTACACAGATGAGGATGAAAGTCGGACAGTGGCATCCATCAAAAACGTTTGTAATCAGAAAAATACTAATGCTTAAAGACGAACTCTTTTCTCTCTTCAAAAGTCTAATGAATGCCTTGAATAATTCACACCAAAATTGGATGGTACAAGAAGCTCCAATTAGCTGGAATACTTTTCAGTGAAACATTTTCTGCTAAAATGCAGGATTTGTGAGTTGTTGACATTTTTCCGTCGAAAGCAGACGTAGGTGATGCTGACTTCTGCTTCGTCTTAATCCTCGAGTAGACGAAATGTAATCACTTACTAAGGCACATCCTGCTGTAGGGATTATGACATCATTCACAATTTCCTCTTTGAAAAATGTTTTCATGACCCCCCTATTCCCACATTTAAAAAAAAAATGAAACAGTACTTAATTCTGTTTTCAAGTTTGGAATTAATGTAAGATTCTATGTTTGCTCATAACATATATTACAACTTTGCATGAAATCATAGATTTCTGAAGATGTTGTTCTTAAAATCGGTTGCCAACTGAATAATTGCTCACAGAAATATATAAGAAACACTAATATAAGTATGAATAATTTATCGTAAACTCTTTTTAATCATATTTATGAGTCAACTTGATTAATTAAATCATAAGATTTAAAGTGTGAAATGCAGCAAATGTGGGTGGGTTTGTAGGTTATTCAGATCTGCTTTGACACGTATGCAAAACACTCTGTTAAAGATTCCCAAACCACTGCCAAATACTATAAANAAAGAAACCATATCTTGTGGGACTTTTATTTAAAGACATTGAAGATAAAGTAAACAAAATATAATCAGCTAACAACAGTGTTCTATGTGTGAACATGCTGTGGGGCTAGACCTGGATTCGAACCCAGGACTTCAGAGAGTTACACCATAGCTCTAACCAACTGTGCTACCTCCACGTAAGCAGAAGTCTCCTGGCCCAACTGTGCTACAGTTATATCCAAAATGAATATACTGTATATAGTATCAGAAAAACCACAGAGCATTGAGTCTGGGATCCTTAAATGTCATTCTGCACCCATGCACCCTTGGCTGGCCCATCACATGCTCTGCAAGTCACCAAATCCCGCCATATGGCAGAATTTAAAGTGGGTTGGTTTTAAATGAAAAGACTGAAGTCTTTTTATTACATCATGTCTGATATGTTCATATAAAATTCTGCCATAAAATTTTGAAAAACCTTTTATTAGTAACTTGCAGCATACATTTTACATCAAAAATGTCTGAATATGACACATTTTAGAAGTACATGTACATAATAATTATGGACCTACAGAAGTGGTTTTTGAAAAGTGGCTATGACTGACAATAACAGACATCAATAACGTGCACAATATGTATCATACGATAATTTTTATACTGTATTCCTTTGCAGTTTGATTATTTTTTTTTTTTTTTAAAGTAGGTTAAATACTTCAAAACTTGAAAGTGTTCACTGAAGAAAACTTTCCCATTTAAAAGCTCAATAGATACATGGTAGTCTAGGATACGTGCTAAGCAACAGAAGAAGAATTATTCATTCCCCATCTTACATGAGTAACAACTGCTGCAGTGATAAATGGACTTGTGTGATCTCTTGTAATATCAAGTAAGTTAGTCTTTCTCCATGTTTCTCCATGTGTATACGCTACAACATCAGCTCATGACTAAACCTCTCACTGGCGAGCTCTCCAACTTGTGTGTGTGAAAACCACAAAACTCCTCAAGTGATGGTAAGAGGGACCAGATGTATTCTATAAACCGGTAGACCCGCCCCCCTGTGTCAGCGGATAACTCTTATTAACCCGACAATAAAAACCTGGGCAGTATTACTTAAACATTTAGAATTAATGAGAAAGCTACATTGGTAATCAGGGCCATGCCAGTAAAACAATATGGCCGCCCCAACACTGCCACCTTGGAAACACCTATGCAATGCAGAAAGGTGATTTTAATGTGGATGCTGCAGATTTCCAATTTCAGAGGTTGTCATTGAGTGTGATCTAGTGGACATTCCTCTGTCCAGGTGCAGAAACTAGGAAGCAAGTTACCGTAGATCCCTTCATTCTCACCCAACACACTGTTACCGTGACTATACAGACCCTAGGTATCGATCATTTAACTTCCCAGGTCACAGGGACTTTGGATAATTTTGTTTTGTAAGTTATGACAAATGGTCCAAAAAATGTCCACCTGTAGGCAAGCAAAGACGAAGAAATGTCTCTGACATATTGAAATTTGAGATGAAATTTGAGGCATATCATTTAGTCATTACACATTGATAAAATGTTACAAATCCCTGTGTTTCCAGAAACAAAAAAAATATTTCCATTATACAACTCATAATGTGTACATCAACAACACAACCATGTTTAAGAGCACTGTACAAATGTTGCCCATGACTATACAAAAACAGGTGAAGCTGTAAGGGTCTCCAGTAAACGGTCAGCCTCACTCTCAATCAGGACCAGGGAAGACGGAGGAGCAGGGCAAGAGGAAGGAGGGGGAGGAGGGGGGAGGATCATGGCAGGTCATAAAACAGACAACAGCAGATACAAGTTATCACCATACATCATGTCCAGGTACCCAGACTCCATAAAACACAAGTCGGGTTTAACGACTGTCATTTACATCTACAGCCCTCTGGCAGCTACAAACTTGATTATCTGTGGTTAAAGGAAAACAACAAAGCCTGGCTAGATCTCATAATCACCCATAAGTCCTAAAATTGGATATTGTTATAAGCTTAAGTGGAAAGAAACTTCAATGATACCCTTGGAGACCTCTGGAACTCTGAATCAAATTGCCTATTATCAGGGAGAGCCGATTAGAACAGACCTCCTCTTTGAAAACATTACCGTTGTTGACACTGTTGATAACCTTGGCGTAGCCCCACCCGAGTTAGTCCTGAGTATTGACTTGAAACACTCGCTCATTAACAACAAGCAATCCCACTCAGTTCTCTGGTGCCAATAAACAACATTCACCTTTTGAGTGCCCACGAGGTCTCCACTTTATCATTAACGTCAATGCTGATGATAATGATGCCACAGCAAAATTAATGCCATTTGTTTAAGCAAACAAAATAATTTAATTTGTTTCATAACTTCAGCCACAATCAGTGCAACCAGGGCACCGAGAACAGAGTAAGGGTGTACTTTTCAAATCAAGCTGCCACATCTTTTCCTCAGCCTTCTCCCGGCCTCGATCATATTTTTTTCAGGAGCATCTTCTCCAATGATATAATCACTTTCATGCAAAATTAAACCGCTGGAGCGAAAGCAGACACCAACTTGGAACACCTCCTGAACTCTTGCCCTCCAATGTCTTGTTTAGGACTGGGGCAGAGCTGAGAGCAGCCCAGTCTGTTTCAGGTGTCTTAGAGGTGTGAGCGTAATCTAGTAAGTGATCTATATCTGTAGGTTAATTCCGTTTGTCTGGTGTTCGTTTGTCTGCCCTTCGCTTCCATATGACATATGCCTGATCTCCCATCCAAATCTTACGAAGCCAGGTGCTACCTTGATTCAATCCTAAGCTCATTAACTTACCTGTTCGGGTTTTAGTCCAGGTGGTACCCAGGTGTATTCTTCAAGCGGACATCCGCTGTCGTCATCGGACGTTGAGTTGCGCTTCGTGTCATGAATGAGACGTTGGAGACTTCTCTCTTGGTCCCCGGTACTGCTCATGTCGTGAGTCTCCGGCGGACATTTACAATGTTTACATATTTTTCTGAAAAGACAGAATAAAAAAATTGCCGTCAGCTATCAGAAACACAAGAATGAAATAAAACAAATTATTACTATCATTAATTTACCCTGTAACAACGTCTTTGTTTTGTAAAATCATACTGATTGTACATGGAAAACAGAAGTTCTATTTATAACATTGGTGACCTTGACCTTTGACATATACAATGAAGACCTTAAAGTCTCTCTCCAGGACAAGTACCTGTATATTACGTTTACATACAAACTATCTCCCGTACGGATGAAGGACGGCTATCACAAACATGGCATATCAAGTCATCTTTAAAGGAATGAAGATGAGAAAAAGTGTCCACCAAAACGTTGGGACTGTTGGTTTTAACCTCAAACCCTCGTTATGGAACACAAAGGCAGAACAGCAACCGTCTGCTGATTCAAACATAATGCTTACATAATACCAATGTATAAAACACATAAAGGCAGATTGCTTTGCAAATACACAATTATGTCCAGCCCTACAGGGAGAGCTGGCTTATAATCTACGATACCATATCCCAATCAATTACATTATACAGTCAACGTTCTACATAAGCTACGAGCACGATAGCACAATCTACTTAGTTCACACATGCCAAGGGAGAAACAAGGGAGAAATATGCCTTCAAGTTCCATTCACTCAAAAAAAAGTTAGATTGAAACCATTTAGTGTATTACAAGTTCTTCATATACCCTGATCATCTCTATATGTATTGTAGGAAACGTGACTATAGCAATAGGGATTGGCTTTACAGATCAATCCCTCGGAATTTCATTTGAGAGACCGCCTTTTATACGAGGAAGGCACAGAAGGGTTTTCTAAACAAAACATCAATATTGCTGAGCCAGCATGAAATTACAGACTGAATTCCTCAATGGGTGTTCTTCTGTCAATAATCAGATTTTTTCATTGGTCCGGAGTTTATTGTTTGGATGTAGTTATCAATTGGCCTTTTGTCTCCATGATTTCCAATTTTTCAACCTGTTGCTTCCAAGAATTCCAAATTTATCATGTCATTCGAAAATAACAATCTAAATCCATCACTTTGCTCGGAGGCTCCGTGGGAAGACTGCGTTAATCTGTAAAGTTTCGTTAGAGTTAAAAGACTATTGTACAGAACTGTACATATACTGAAGAGTTCGCTTGTGATTCTTGTCACATCTCGAACTGCGGCAGAAACAGGAAGTAGACTTAAGGGTATAAAAACATGGTCATTTACCCTTCCATGGCGCCTAATATGTTGTCAAGGCAACGTAGAGGCACACCTAGACACACTTCAGTTACACTCCAGAGTTCTCCAATCAAACTTACACATGACACACCACTCCATTGCCTGATTTCATCAACCCGCAATGTACACAACAGGAATGATTCTCGAAGGACCCATAACACCACACTGCTCGACAACTATTTAAATGTACGCTTTAGAGGCGAGATTTGTTCGTAATTTCATTAGTGGGATCGCATTAACCAAACTGTATCTTTGGGTTTCCTTACGGGAGGATTGTGACCCCAAGGCAGGGCAAGGAAACGCACAGTAATATATACATGTCTACGTGTTGTGTAGCCGTAAACAAGAGGACAGGGGAAATAACTTAATGTGAACAGTTTCTGTGACAATATCAGCCTGTAAATGATATTGCTTTCAGAAGATCGTTTGTGGCAAGTTCTTAGTTAATTAATCAGAGCTGATGTTACTACCGTATGTAGGGATGAGATAGTATCGGCCAATGAAAGCTCAAACGAAACCATTTTCTCTCTGTGTGGTTAAAGTTGCCATATTAACTAATTGAAGAGCTCTGAAGACAACCAGCACTGTTAGCACCGTTAGACAAACACGAAGGCAGGCATGGCGATACTCTCTGTGGTATTGTCGTCCACAAGGGATGTTCAGCTCTGCCATACTATGGTGTAAGAGACTACTCAACAAGTTTGTTACAGCCAACTGTTTTCATCAGAAGCAAAAAATCAGCACACAGCTTTCAAATGGTAGGAGAGTAAATTACGACCGGAGAGATGATCCATGAATTGAAAACGATGGAGTCTAATGGCCTCGTTGGAACTCCATGGAAGGAGGGGGGGGGGGGGATTGAATTTAGTCTCTTGTGTGTGAACAGTTGTTTTTTAAAACAGACACAGACAGAAGCTAACAAACAGGAAATTTCTGATTCTGAAAGCCTGTAGAATGTTCTTTTCTCCTTTCATGTACAAAAACAAAAAAAGGCGCAGAATTCCACAAGGAGCAATAAAATTGTTCTCACAAAAAGACATAATGTCATACGGAACAAGGGTTCAACATGACACCGAAACAAATTTCGTGTTCAATAAATCATTCGAATGTGTTTCCTCTCAGTCACTATGATGTTTGAATCTGGCAGGGCTGTATTAGTTTTACATCATAGAGCCAGTTTTATGGTACTTTTACATCTTCAAAAACATGTTTCAAGGAAGTGTAAAAATGGCAGCAAATGAAAAATCCGTAATTTAAACTGAACAAGATTTTTCGTGCAAGTTTTCATCGATTTTTGGGCTTAGAAAATAATATTGTATTGGGGCATCTAGATTTTATAATTTTTCAACTTGTCACTTTTTTTGGATACATGCATTGTTCCCCAAAAAAAACACCCAGGATCCACTTAAACATTTAACCTTTTTATGAAACTTGAAAGTGAATCTGAAATGCACATTATCTTGATTCTTAAAGCAGGACAGATCTCTGAATGTGATAACAGCTCCTAAATATTTCCCTTTAGAGAGGAAGTTTGCTAGATTATGGGATTCCAGGACACGGTTTATTAAGCCTATAAATCTTGGATTTTTATATCAATAAGGCCAAACATAATATTTGTTGTGTTTCCTATCATAATTCTCAAAAAAAACAACAACAAAAAACACTATCAGTTAACATATAAAAAAAGGGGCCAACAAGGCCTGTATCACTCACCAGGCACCACCATAAGTAACATTTCGTTGAATTGTGGGTCAAGGTCATCAATTTGAAGAAATTGGTAGGCCTTTTTCCAAGCAAACTAGACCAAATATCATTACTGTAGACTTCCCTGTTTATTGGAAGAAGGTGCTTGAAGGTTTTAACACAATTGACCCTTATACTAGCACTTGTTTGAATAATAAACTGAACAAGCAGATTTACTTTGGGTGCTGCAGTATGGTTAAAAACTCACAGGGTTCAATAACATGAAAACAGTCATCTTTGAAACTGATACTTTCCAACAACCTTGTTTGAATCATATATTAACAAGACTCTCTCAACTGCAATTCATTGAGTAATCTTGTCATTATCATTTGAAAGCTTTCCATCATAAATATCTGCCAGACAGACACAATACAACATGTCCCTGTCTGACCCTTACGTGACTTAGCAGTGGTCAACACCCACAAATAGAAAACCCTTCCCTGGATAGTTTATTGGAAAATATGACCTTTTGGCATTTCATAAAAGCCCAGGCCATTACAATAATTGTATAGAAAGGTTGTGCAACCTTTCAGAATTCTTTGCCTTGCACTTTGAAACATACACATGAAACATACATCACATGGAATTAATTCTATCTCCCGCAAACAATAATACCAGAATGCAATGCTGAAATTACTATCCTTTCTGTTCAAGGTTTAACATCCTCGTAACTGCTAAGGTCATATGAAGACGTTTACATTTAGAATATCATGAAATATTGTCATAGAAAGTGTTGGTGTCAATACTCTGATCATTCCAAACAGCAAAGTGATTTCAAGTCGTATCAAAAGGTCTAAAAATTTAACACACACGCACACACACACTTTTTTTTTTTTAAAAAAAAAAAGATCTTAACATCTCCATATTAACTTATTTATACATAAAACTTCCTTGGTAACTCACAGACCAAACTTTTTCGTTCCGACATTTTCACTTTTGATAATAACACCTTCATGAATATTTCAAATCGGACACGAGTGCCATTTACACATTCAGTTAGCTGCGTTACCTAGTATTGATCACTGCGTCGTCAGACGAGAAAGTGACAACTGACGCATCCTCACCCACTAAGATTTCTATCATAATAGTGATAAAGCTCATCCATACTGTTGCTCCCTCTCAAGTCCTGGCCACAACCAAATAGTCGGAAAGCCCGAAACTAATTGCTGGTCTTTTTATGGCAAGAAATAAATGCATAAAATGATGGAAATGTATAGAAGATACTTCCAACACAGCAACAAATTATACAGAATATGACGGGCAGAAAATATTCCGCCAAATTTTGATGAGATTAGAATTTGTTGTGGGACTGCTCCTCGCATGCTTACGAGCCGGTGATTAAGACTGAAAATGCAAATATTATACAAAAACGGAGGCAGTAAATATGGCAGTCAATTTACCTCAATATGCCGAGCCACATGTTACTTTTTATCAGCAACAATTGCATCAATTAGGCGGAACTCTATGCCGGAATGAATATTCACGGAATTCCCAAAAGACCTGAAGTATTTCGGAAAACAACACGAAGCTACATTTGCATGACCATGGATAAATGTCAAGCTAAACATCCAAACTTATTCTAAATGAAAACGTATTTGTTTTTATGGTAATAACTCTAACATGGAGTAGTGGATTATCCTCTCAGGAACCGAAGCTATCGTTCAGTGTCTGGTGGCCAGATGAAAGAAGCAATCCACGGAGATAAAGACTCAAGGTTGCAGACAGGGCGCTGAAGATACAAATGCAAAACAATGGTTTCAAGTCTATTTAAAATCAGAAAATTGGCTGAAAGAGGTCCCGTTTAAATTGATTAGGGAACTGGGGTTGAAGAGAAGGAAATGTTTGATGTGCTTCCGTTATTTCTCCTGTGTTTGATGGACTGCCATTGGTCTGCCATTGATGGGAAGTCAACACAACAATTGGCCATTACAATAAACACTTATGACCGTATGCCTCAGAAACCATGGCAACAGAAATCTGTTTATTGTGCCATAAAACAAATTATTTCAAGTGT